GTGTGTGTGTAGCCCTGGTGGTACAGTTAAGCGGCTGGCTACTAACTGAAAGGTTGGTAATTCCAACCCACCCAGCGGCTCTGCAGGAGAAAAGACCTGGCAATCTGCTCCCGTAAAGCTTACAGCCTAGAAAACCACACGGGACAGTTCTGCTCTGTCCTGTAGGGTTGCTATGAGTCGGAATCTACTTGATGGTACCCAACAACTATTATATATATATATATATATATATACACACACACAAACACACACATACGTATACATATGCATGTATATAAAACTACTTTATGAGAACGTCCTCATTAAGCTAAAAACAGCACAATTACAGGACTTCTGAACAAGTAATTGCTCACAGTCTGTAGCTTAGAAACAACGGGTCTTTACAGACACGGTGCCTGCTGAGTCCCAGCAGCACAGCGCCCCGTCCGTTACCCCAGGCATCCGCCTCTGCGGTCACCTGAGCCCCACGGGCAGTCTGCTCCACGGCCTCGGGAGGCTGGTGCGGACCTAACCGTGAGCCCCTCCTGCCGACCACACAGGTCAGTCAGTGAACCGGTAGAGCAAGGCACCCCCTTCAGTCCGGCTCCTTGTCTCACAAAGGAGAGCAATGAAGAGCCTCAGCATCAGATGAAGGAAAGCCCAGGACTGCGTCTTGATCTGGTAGACGAGAGACCTACTTCTACGCAGCGGCTCTGAGTAGTTCTGGGGTGCGCTTCCTCACCTCACCAGCAATGTCAGTTCCTAGGATGGGAAATGGATCTTGGACATGCGACATGGATGAGATGCTCTGCCATGACTCTGAAAGGACGGACTCAAATCTGAGATTTTTCTGGTTAATGGAAATAGCAGAGCCCATATTTTAGAGGCTTGCTATTGAAGAGAAGGAAGACTTTTCATTTGATCCAGCACTTGGTGGGTTGAGAAGGATAAAGAACCGACCTAGGAATATCGATGGTCCTACCCCCTCAGCAAGCACTGTCGCTACCCACCCCGCTGCTCGCACAGGAGCCGGTCTCGAGGCTGGCATGTTGCCTGTCACTGACATCCAGTTCATCACCAAGTCTGTGGGTCCTGCTTCAACAGTATTTCTCAAACCCACTCAGTCTTCCACACCTCCACTGCCTGCACCCGTCACCCTCATCGTCACCTGAGTCACTGCAGACTCCTCCTCTCTTCCACCCTCCACGTGGTAACCAGAGTGATTGAAAAAAACAAGACTGGTAACAGCCTGTGTCCCCACTGCTCGGAGATTAGGCTGGGCCCCGTCCCTCTGCCCGCTCTGCCTTCTCCTGCCCCTGTGCCCGCCCACACTTTTCTACCACGGCATCTGCTCACGGGCCCCTGCTCTGCCCAGAACACTCTTCTGAGTCCTTCTCTTCTGCCTACCTTTTCTGTGAGTGAACATCCACTTCTCCAGTAGGTCTCAGCAAAAGGTCACCTCCTCTTAGAAGCCCTCTGGTGCCCAGGCTAGGCGAGGTCACGCGCCCCCACAGCACCAGCGCATCATGCCCTGTCCACATCTTAGTTAACTGTCTTTGAGACAATGGTATTATATAAGTGGTCCCCCCACCACCCCTCACCCCCCCACACACAAACACAGGCTTTTCCAGCACCGCACCCTAAGCCTAGAGAAGTGCTGGGTGCGCAGGGGCCCTTCTGCAGCATCTGGTGGCCGGCCCACCAGGGGCAGGTGTGGCTCCAGAGGAGCAGAGGGCCTTCATGGCTGGCCATACTTGCTTCCATGAGCTTCCAACCTGGATGCTTGATTTCCAGGCACGCCTCACTCAGAGGAAACCTGATATACTAACACCTACGCAAAACGAGATTGCACACCCGTTGTGTACCACACCGACAGTACCAAACGAGGTGTGTCTGGTCCTGAAGATAAATACTTGCTTCTATACTGGCTGTAGAGGGCAGGGAGGGAAGTACAGAGACAGCATCCACTTCAAGCCAACCATGGTGTCATATTAAATTTCATTTGTAACACATTTCAACATGATCTGAATGAGCGTCCACAGTGAGTGGGCTATTTGGAATTGTAATGATCCTGTACTGCATCAATCCCACTCTGGTCACTATAGAAATAAAGCGTCCTTTTTGTTTCTCACAGGTGGACTGTCTTGGTAAGAAGAGGTGCTGGGTGGACAGGAAGCGAAGGATGAGGTGATGTGGGACCCTGGCAGGTGAGCACAGATGGCACACATTGGAAGCGAGAATTTTGCCACGTCATCATTTCCCATCTGACTGCTAGGCCCCCTTCCAAAGTTCCTCTCCTCTACGAGGAGATGTGTCTGTAGGGGGCATTCCACAGCTGTGAGGGTGCACACAAATGAGACCTGGCCATCGAGGCCCTAGGAAACAAAT